GAATAAACCTTGCAAGTTTCAGCGCGGTATTATAAATCCTTATCTTTTTGCATCAATTTTTTTTTCAGTGCGGTCCAACTCAGCCGCAAAATCTTCCTTAATATCGCCCTTAATTTTCGTCGTGCTGCGCTGTTTTTTTCGTCGCCATCTTGAATTCTTACGAGTAAACCACTGTTATTAATGTTCGTTGTGACACTGACCCGATTGTAGCTCGGAACGTGGCGAAACAGCGCGAAAATTTTCATTTGAACTCGTATCGTGACGTACTCTTGATATGGCGTCGTAAACAATGTTTTAGGCCTTAGCAACGCGCTTATTTGCATAATAGGTCCTTTAACTGCCGCTTTATCTGTCATCGACCTTGCAAGAATCATATATCTAATGTGTCTCTAGCAGGCTTTTTACAGGCATAGAAATGATTCAGAAATATCAAAACAATCGTACTTTATTTACAGAAGTCATACTATGCTACGCCAAAAGTGACAAAATATCAAAGATTCAACTTTATAATTCAAATCCACAAATTCACTATCAAGATCGATAAAATTAACATCAATTTGCTCTTTGAATGTGTCAAGATTGTAGAATTTAATTTCAATTAGCTCGTGTTTCATGTCATGTATCAAGAGACACGTTTTCTAAATCAAGATGCATGTTTTTTTAAATCAAGAAGGGAGACGACAATTTTTGATCAGTTTTGTTTCCGAGGGGGACTGAAACCGAAAAATCTGCCATGCTCCATTAGCCTGTGTACAGCCGCCCCTCCCCTCAAAAGACGCTCCTTTCCGATTTTTAGGAGGGGAGGGGCGGCTGTACACAGGCTATGCTCCGTGGACTACTCCATGAAGAATCCCGCCCATTCCCGCCCTGCCGCGTTAGATATGGCGGAGGAATCGAAGAACTTGTCAGAAGAATCCTTCGAGCAGCACAGGGAGTTAACACATCTCGAACACATCTTAAGCGTGTCAACACCTGACGAAGAACTGAGGCGGCGATTTAAGAACGAGATAGGCTCGATCAGAAAGAAAGCGGAACAGGCTCTCGTAGAAGCGCTGGTGAAATATCACTACAGGCGTGCAGAACGATTAATTAACAAGCTTCGTAAACTCGAACAGTATAAATCTCGCAGGAATACTGTAAGGAACAATATTGGAATACTAAGCAGACGTCTCACCAGAAAACGCAATCACCGGCTAGAGAGAAAACTGTCAACGAAGTTGACAATGTAAATTGAAGACCAAGATTGGCGAAGTCGATGTGTGTGCGAATAAACAAAGTGAATCTTACCCTTGTCTCTTATCAGACTCCTTAGAAGTAAGGGGAAAAGGGAAAGCAAACCGCAGAGATAACAAAGCGGCCAAAGACCGCAAAAGAAAAGAGCGGAGAAAAATCAAAGACTGTTTCGTACCTCGGTTTTGGGTACTACTCGGGTTGAAGACACACCAGGAAAATAATGTCAACGGGATCTACCAGTTGTTTTTGAACTACTTTAATGTCACAATTTCCAATCTCGCGACAACTAGCTAGATGTGTATATGCGTAGTCAACTGAAAATAAAGGCATACATTGCATTGCTTACTTGTGAATCGACTATAAAAGCTTGATAAATCGAATCTAACTGAAAATGAAATCAGCAAACTTTCTTCAACAAATGTGAACATACTTACAATTCTGTAAGGCGTTATCCCGTGATGACACGGCTATTTTCCTATCTTATTTGAAGAAAAGGTATAAGACACTGTTTTCAATAACAGGATTCTTTCTCAC